GTGTAAGAGCCTCGTCTCCTATTTGAAGCCCCGTCTCCTCCTTTAAGCTTTTAGGCGTTTCCATTTCTTATCTACCATTTCACGAGTTTCGTTGCAAAAGTTGTTTCCCCCAAATCTGAAACCAAACCCTAGCCCCAAAATCATCATCTCCTCATTCAAGCTTTATCCGTTCCCATACTGAGAAGTAGTAAAAGTTTCCCCCAAATCTGAGATTGTGAACCCTATCCCCAAAATTAACACTAATTTTGCATGTTTTCAAACCCCGGCGAAAACGGAGAAATTCACTCTAAACCGTTCTGTTCGGCGACCTCCTTGGGCATCCCTCCTAGGTCGATGTAGGAGGACTAGCTCTCGACCTAGTTCTCTTCAGCGGCGACGTCAAAGCTCATTCCCCTGGCATTATCGTCGTCGGTACCGTAAACACAGTAATTCCTTCTCGCATTTTGGGAATCTCGAAGCTGGCCAAAGTTGCTCTTCTGTAGGCTCAAACTTGGTAAGTACATAAATCCTTACATTTATTTCCTCAGCGTGATATTCTATGGTTTGAATCTACATCCATAAACTCAGGTGACTTTGGACATTGATTTTTTACTATACATATGTGATATGCCATAAACATGTTGGTTGCTCTGGTTTGCTTTTGTTTAAGGGATGAATGTGTGGAGATGTGTTAAAATGGCAGGAAACCAAAATTCTTTTCTTTACTAAGCAGGTTCATTTTTGCTTTCTAGCGGAATAAAAAAAAATCCTCTTTTTAATGTTTTTGTTGTGAATACCTTATAGTCATGTCTGTTGTGAATAACCGGCAGTTAGGTTACTCTTATCTCTAACAATCACACATGTTTCTATTGTTGTGAATACCCTGCACTTGTGACAGGTTTGAAATGAATATGCCCATGTAGTCGTTAGACTAGCACCTATGATCAACCATGTAAGAACACAAGCCAACTAGGTAGCTAACGTATAAGTAATGTCTTTCTTGTGTTAACACCAAACCATGAGTCTAAAAAGGCTATCTAATTCTAACCCGAGCTAAAAATAAGCTGTTGAGATGTGGATTTCCTTATTGTGAGTATACTTGGTAATGTTTTCTTGTTTTGCTTCTTTGTTTTAAGTGAACCCACTGCTAAGTGCTAGTTCATCTAAATTATACTTTGATGCACATATAAGCTATGGCTGTGATGCGTAATATGTGTCTAATGGCCTTGCTCCTTATGTCGAGTGATATTCAAAAGTGTGACAATTATCAGTTGCCGGTTTATAATGTCACTATTGGCATATTCGTACTATGGTAAGTTGAATAACGATCGGGGCTAGCTGCCGTAGTGTGCTTATAAACATTGGTAGCATAGTTGTCATTCCCTAGGATAATGCTCCATAGGTGGGCGACGCGAGCCGTTACACATTCCTGAGCCTATTTGATTATGTTTCCTTTCATTACATGATTTTTGCTTCAAATGTACATATGTATTACGACCAGATTGGATTTCACCACTAAATAGATGGCAAGAAGGAGGGATAGAGATGTCAATTGGAGCCCCGAAGTAGAGGTAGGGTCGCTTCGGTGGCTAGGTGACTTTAATTTAGCCCACTCGTCCGGTACTGCACCAAACTGAGACAAGTATGTTAAATGGGCAACCCAACTAAGTGAGCATTTGATCGTCCCCCTAACTTGGGACAAAGTGAAACAAAAAGCTAGTAGACTGAAGAAAACGTTTGATGTTGAATTTCTACTTCGTACTACCACCGGACTTAGATGGGATCCGATTCATAAGAAACCCACCTGCACTGACGAATATTGGCAACAATTTATCCATGAAAGTTTGATGCTTGATTGACTTTTATATACATATGTTGGATGCCTAACCATGAGTCTTTTTCTCATTTGATTTTAATATTTGTTGATGGATTTGCAGAGCCACCCCGAGATTGAAAGGACAAAGAGGAAGCCCTTGTTGGATTACGATTTGTATTATTGCGCGTTCACCAATTCAAGGGCAACTGGACCCTTTGAGTATGGTCAGGATGATATACCAAACAGTCCGCCTCCACCACCACAACAATGTGACGCAGCCCCATTGACATTGAAAGAGGACCAAAAAGTTTCAATGATGGTGAGGATATACCTTTTAGAAATATGAGGCAAGGCCGCACACCACGTGTGGGCTCCTCATCACGAGTGGTACGTAAACGGTCAAGTCGAAACAATCGTAGAGTCTCACTGACCTTTATGGAGCGTGTCGTGAATTGAATCGTAAGTTCGATAGAAACAAGTAGTCAGATTCGAGGTATAAATTCATCTACGAATATGTCCGTTCAAATTGAAAATATTGAGGATCAATGCATTGATTTATTGGAAACGTTGCAAATACCCCAAGATCAATACCTTTTCATATTCAACTTTATGACTTCGAATCCTAGACTTTAGCCGCCATTCCTTCGTATGCCAGAACATCATCAGCTTGCGTGGATTGAGCAGACTATGGAGCAGTGTGAAAATCAACAAGTTCTTCCTCTACCACCACATCAAATGCCTATCCCCTCGTTCTTTCAGTCTCACGTACAACCGAATCCTGCACCCGCCTACACATTCCAGCAAACCACTTCACCTTTTCAACCGTATGTGCCACCATTTCCAAGGCCACCATTTCCAATGCCATGTGGAGGAGATGGTTCTTCACAATTGTGATGGCGGCGACAGAGTTGGTTGAGATTTCTAGATTACATTTACTTGTTATGAACTTAAATAGAGTTGTCCTTATTGATTCGTTTATGGTTTTATTTCCTTCATTAGTTGTCATTATTAGTACTGATGAATCATATCAAATTTGAGGACAATGTTATTGCTTTGAACAGATTTTATTAAACAGTTGATTTATATGATTTACAGTTACGTATACATTTTGCAATATTTAACTTTATGCTTTATTAGTTGAAAATTTTGGCAGGGATGGATATAGGTGGGAATTCAAACCCAATGGATCCTAATGAATCAGCAAGTGACAGTGCTAATGATTTTTTCAGGCAAGTGGTAGTTGCAGTAACTTTGTTATGTGTTGAATTTGTGTACAGAGAACCTTTCCGCCGAAGGCACACTTCAGGTTGGGGAGGTGCAGTTAGAGTGAATTATTATCTGAAACGCAGTCCATCAGTGATGTATGACAAAGTCCGTATGAGTAGTGATGCATTCTTGCATCTAAGTTATATCCTTGATAAGAGAGGCTTATTGCAACTGACCATCCACCTAAATGTTGACGAGTAATTATTCATATTCCTAACTATATTATGTCAGAACCAAACTAACAGGGAGGCGCAGGACCATTGGCAGTGATCTAGATCAACAGTGTCAGAGTACTTCACCAAAGTTCTTGAGGCGGTATGCACATTGAAGAAGGGCTTCATTAGACATCCAGATTTCTAAATTGTTCACCCGCACATACTTGCTAGTGGAAACAAATACTCACCATGGTTCGATGTAAGTTCGGTATTCTACATTAATTATGCACATCTAAATTTTAATGCAGTTTATTATGCTTTCTAAAATTATTACCTTATATAATATAACCAACAGAACTCTTGTAAATGTGAAGGATTGTGTTGGAGCACTTGACGGTACTCACGTCCCATGAGTTCCTCCTCGTGAAACTGCTAAAATTTATAGAAATATGAAGGGGTTCTTTTCACTTAATGTGCTTGCAGTGTGCTCATTTGATATGAAATTTACATACATGTTATCTAGATGGGAGGGTTCAGCACACGATGCGAGAGTACTCGCATCCGCCTTAGATATCCCAATCAAAAGATTTCTGAAACCACCACCAGGTTAACCCATGATTTTTTATGTGTGCAATGACATTCCAAATACTTGATCCGTACGCTTATTTGTTAATTATTATACGTATACGTATAGGAAAATTTTACCTCGTCGACTCGGGTTACGCTAACAACAGATGCTTCATGGCACCATATCGGGGGACAACGTACCACTTGCAAGAATATAGGAATCGCCGTGAATGAGGTTTCCAAAGTGAACGTGAGCTGTTCAACTACACCCACTCCTCACTGCGTAATGTCATTGAAAGAACATTTGGTGTGGAAGGCTAGATTTTGTATTTTGAAAACCATTAACCGTTACCCCATGACCAAACAAGCTATGATTCCAGTAGTGTGTGCTATAATACACAATTTTATCCATTTGTACCGTAATGGAGACAACCTATTGGAGCAGTACTCACAAGATGACGTTCCGGTTGCGGACATTGATCCACAGAATATTGATGAGGACATCAACGACAATACTAACCATGAGGGTCAACCGTTGGATTCTAATGCAGAAGTGGAGATGAATGTTTTAAGGGATGCAATGGCGCATACAATGTGGGCAGTGTACCGTCACCGTCGTGCGCGTTAATAAGCCTCGTTCATAGGACATTTATGTGCTACGATATGATATTATATGGTGTATAAATACTTATGTTATAATTTATGTATTTATTGTTGTCGTTTTGAACTTAATTATAATAGAAATTGATATTCTACTATTTATTTTTATTATAATTTTTTTCGTATTTACGCATTTTTTAAAATTACCAAATTACCCATTATTCCAAATTATTTACAAATAATTCCAATTATGAATAAATTTGAAAAAGAAAAAAATTTGAAAAGAATTGAATAAAAACCAAAAAAGGAAAAAAAATGTTATTCACTATTCACAACTCAAGTCTTATCACAAATAAACACAAATTCAAGAAGATTTTTATATCAAATTATAACTTAAATGTACACAACTAAATACAAACTCAAATTATAACTTTAACTCAAATTATAACTCAAAATTTTAACTTAAGAATGCCTAATTCTAAAATGCAAAAGGAAAACCCTCAAGTATTTGATGACAAATGTACGGTCCAACCACCAAAGCCCAAACTCTCTTAATTAAGTAAGTTGATCAACACAAATAATTAAATAAACTAAAATAACATAAAAAAACAGACAAACTCCAGAGCGTCTCTCAAGCTCAACTGTTCTCAGCGAACTCTTCTTAATCTTATTTATGTTTCTCTTTCTTCTCGTCTCTTTCTTCCAGTTCTTTCTCTGCAGTAATAGAGAACAATCAAAACCCAGCTGACTTTTCTAACCGCATTTTGTTGCGAAGAGTTTATGATGGCCGTTGACCTACACCAAGCAGGGGAGTTATTGCTCTGCCCTCGCGAGTTTCAGCTCCCTCCCGATCAAAACGACATCGGACTCGGCGACGCTGATCACTCTGCAGAGAAGCCATTCGAAAACGACAACCAAAAGCTGCCTATTTGGGATTTCGAGGCTACCAATTATTATGGGCCGAGCTCGTCGTCCGATCACTCGTCAGAGCTCGCTTCCTCAACGACTGAAACAGAGACCGATTGCATTGCCGAGTTGACTCGGGAGATGACTCGCTGTATGATTCGAGATCACGAAAAACGAAGGTTTCCTATCACTGGCCCAGAAAAAACACAGGAGGTATTTAATTGTTTCTCTGTTTTTGTTGCTCTGTTTTAGACTGTAATGGGTAAATAAGGTTTTTTTTGTTTTTTGTTTTTTGGATTTCAGACGTGGGATTTTGGAGGTTGGCCGTACACGACACAAATCTGGTCGCCGTTTGGGTCGAGCTATGAAAGCACAGAAGGATCTTCTTCTCAGGAGCCAACGCCTCCGGCGACGCCTGCGGTAGAAAAACGACACGTTTGGGACAGCAACAATGTTGACATCACGGCGAATATGGAGAAGATGAATGTAAAAGACGAAGGGTCTAAATATTTCACATCCCAGAGCTTACCAACAAAACCCATTTCAGCCCCAGTAGATGCACCAACTCTTGACAACAAAATCCGAGCATTTCAAGTAAGAAGAATAGATACAAATCTAATCTATTTGTTCGATATATTTTAGTACTCTTTTGGAGTGTTCAACTACTTATTTTGTACTGTTTCTGTTGCAGTTGTGTAGGATGAAACAAGAGCAGCTTCTTAGGCAACAAAGTATGGTTAAACAGCAACTTGAGCTGCATGAAAATCACCTTCAATATGTCATGAAGAAAGAAAAAGCTCGTCAGCCATGGAGTAATTGGATGAACCAGCAACAGGGTTCGGGTATGCGGGCAGTTTTTCTTGGCGGGTCGGGTGCGAAAACCGGGTCCGGTGGGACTGGCGTTTTCTTGCCCTGCGTAATTGGCGATACATCACAGTCACGCAAGAAAAAAGGTACACAAATTAGTCATCCATAGTAAACATTTTTTTTTTAAAAATAAAATAAAATAAACGTTCAAGTGATGTTTCTAATTGTGGTTCCCCAGTCGTTGGGATTGGTTGGCGCTGAAAGTGGTCTATCACCTATCCCAAATAAATCTGATAATATTCTGATTGTTAGTGGTTCATCCTTTTGTGCTTGTTTGTGACCTTGGATCTAGAATGATGGTTCCATGTTGTATAAAGATTCCTCTTAATCTCTTCCCTGAGTTTCACATTTTTGCCCCCCAAGAATCACTTGATTCTTGCCTAGTTTATAGTGTGAACTGGAATTTCCTAATCTAGGTTCCTCTTTTTTCGAGTTTGGTCCGTTTCAAATTGTTCAGTTAAAGAACCAACTTCTAATTTGGCCCCCTTTTTTTTTTTTTTTTTTTGAGACTTAGGGCAAAGGAAAAAAAAAAAAAAAACTTATGGATAAGTACAATTTTTTTTGAAGTTATGGGTAAACATAATTTTTAACTGTTAAATATTCTTTAAATTTCTTTGAATTTTCATATTTTTTTAATTTAATATAATTATGATAGAATTTGGCGGTTCATATCATAAATTTCTTTTAATCGACTACCACATAAATTTCTTTTAATTGACTACCACATAATTTTCTTTGTTTTATTCTCTTTATGAGAAAGTAAAAAAATATATATATTACCTATAACTAAAAGCAAAAAAAAAATATTTATATTACCTATAATTAGAACAGGGTTGACATTGTCCTCTAATAAATTTTTCGTTGCCATTTCTTTTTCCTGTTTGACTCAGGGTCTTCACCAGTTCTTATCCCAGCAAAGGTAATGCAGGCTCTGAAAGTTCACTTTGATAGAATGGGCAACTTGTCAAGACAAAACACTACCAATTTCCCTATGCAACACGGTACGTGAAAAATGCCACAAAAAAATCTTATTCTGTACAAAAATGAAAAATGTCTTTCAGACAATTTTTCTTTTCCTTTTTTTTTTTTTAATTTTTGGATTTGCCAAATAGTCGAATGTGCGATTTAATTTTATGCTTTTTTTTTTTTCCTCTTCAGATACTTACAAGGCTGAGAAGGATGGAATATATGCACAGAAGATGCACGTGTCCCGGGCGGTGCCGGCCATGAACCAAAACGACATGGGTTTACCTCAAGATTGGACGTACTGACGTCGTTTCAAGCTCTAGTCGCTTGCCTTAATTTATAGTGGGTGTTTTGGCAGTTTTTGGCTCTATTATAATAGGAGAGGAAAATGGGAAAATGGGAAAATGTGCTCCTAGTACAGAATAAAGGGGAAAATGGGAATGACACTTTGTTGATCAAATACAGAGAATCAATCAACAGGATTTAGATGGAGTAGGATAAATAAGAAATAATGGGTTTGGTTGTGGTGGGAGAATGATAATGATAATAGTAATGAAATAGAATAAAAATGAAAGATAATTTATTTGTTTGTTTTACTTTTATAAATGTAATAAAATAATATATTAATATTTTCATGTTGACAAAATTACTCATCATGCTATTATAATTAATATCATATATATTAATATAATCATTTAATAACTAATATTATATATATAAAATTATAAGGATATAATATATATAATTATAATTAAAGTTATATAATATTTATTATTATATTCCAATCATAATATATAATATAATAAAATAATGATATTGTGATTATTTTATATTATAATGTTACAACTATACTATATTATATTATTGGAAATATAATATAATTATAAAAATATAATAATATAATATAATATAACATATTATAATTATAATATATAATATAGTATATAATCATTTCTAATTATAGTATATTATCTATTTATCTATTATAATATAAATTTATATTGTAATTATATAAATACTTAATTATAACATTATAAAATATAGTATCTTATTATAATTATAATAGTATATATTTAAAATAATAAAATCCTAATTTTTATTATAACTATCATATTATTAATGAAAACATTACATCTATATTATTATAATATTAAATATGATATATTATAATATACGTATAAAATTATAATATATTATATTATATGTAATAAGATATAATTACATTATAATATAAATTATTATAATATATTATTAATAATATTATAAATAGTAATATTATAATATTTAAGGGTAATGATGGAAAAGGAAAATAAAAGAGCTTGGAATGGGCATTCCTCTCATATGATGAATGAATGTTGATTCACCTATTTGATGGAAAAATCATTCCATTTTGAATGACCATTCATTTTTCTAAAATCAACCAAACATAAGAATGAACCTTAATTCATTTCCATTCCTCCCAACTAAATACACCCTAAGCTAGAAGAATAAGTTTTTTTTTTTTACCTTTGTTTGAGAGGGATACTTAGAATAGAGAAATAAAGAATAAGTGAAAATTTGTCAGAAAGGTGGAATAGACGACTGGGCCTCTTCTTGGCTGGTTAAAGCATATGCTAGTATGAATTGTTAATTTTCTGTTTTTTTTTTCAATTTTTTCTGTTAATTATGTTATGCCATTTCCCAAATTTCTTTTAATCTGATTAGGTTAGAACAGTACTTTTTTGTTTTTTGTTTTTTCTTTTTTAGAGTAAAATAAATGGTGGAGATATTGTCAACATGTTATAAGATAATAGCATCGTTTCTTTTATTTCTAAAAACAAAATGGTAAAAAAGAAAACCATAATTATCCTTAATTTTTTGAAATCTTTCTTCAGTACGCTAATATACCGATAGATCAAACTTTTTATCTATCAGATTTATATTAAATCACATAAAAATTAAAAATTTTACAGATTTAACGGTTAAAAAAATTTAATCTACCTATAATTTCTTTTTTTGGATGAAGAAATTGAAAGGGAATCTAATTGTTGGAGGCATATTATTGGAGCTAAAGATTTTCCCTTATGTGGTCTTTGGAATATCTTTAGATCCCGTTCATTTCGCTGATTCGAGTTTAAAATTCGAGTTTTTCTACAGTAAAAAGCTCTCACAAACAATTATATCTAATTTTTTTGCTACAGTAAAAAACTCTCACATAAAGTCACATTTCAATTCGAATTAAAAACTCGAATCAACGAACTAAACAGACCCAATGTCAAAAGTTCAAAGAAAGAATAATCACGGCTAATTTGGCAAATCACGTGTAATAAGTGTATTTATATTCACGAATGACGCCATCTATAACGTACTTAATTGATGAACACAAAGTTTGCTTCTGACTAGTAAATGGCAAACGGGTTAAAAGAGATCTGAGTTTTCTCATTTCCCAACAAAAATGAAAGTGCATCCTTCTAATTTTCTTTACTTCTTGGCTTGTATTTTTTATACCCCTGTGTGTATATATACATATGTTCAATTTTTTTTAAGGTGATATATTCGATTTTAAAACAACAGACCCTTTTTTTTTAGTATTGTAAAAACTGTTTGGTGTCATCATACAAAAAGTCTTTTTCAATAGTAAAAAAATGTTGGACTTTTTCTTATGAGAATAAAAATGTAGGACGTTTTAGCTACATAAAAAAAAAAATGGACGTATGTCTTATAGACTTGGAGGTTACCTAGATTCCTTCTACAGTCTGTTTAGATTCCTTCCAGATTTTTTTTCTTTTGTTTTTTAATTTATGATTTATCTCTGAATCAGATCAAATCAAACAAAAATGGGTCTGTTTGTTTAATTTCGTTTTTGGTTGATGTCGTTTTTGGTTGATTTTCGTTATTCACTTGATGTCGTTTTTGGTTCCAGTTGCACTGGAGGTGGAGCTCATGGCGGCGACAATTTGATTCTATTTCAAATTTCATCAGGTAAGTTCCTTCTTGCTTCTTCCATTTCAGCTCCTTTTTGGTTGATGCTCCTTTTTCACTTAATTCTCTGTTACGTCAAACGGTTGAAACACTTTGTTAGTGGTGAAACAAACATTGCATTATAGGTGGAATTGAACACATGAAAGTAAACAAAAGAAACCTGAAATGAATTGTATGCATGGCTATTTGTTCTTGCTTTTGCCACAGATTTTGAATTGGGAAATCAACTAAATGTACATTGAGATGTGTTTGTTATTGTGTGTTATAGTTTAAGATATGTGTGGCTGGAATACATATTTTTATAATTGATTTATGTCATAAAGTATTATCTTGAATGCAATTTATACACGTCTCTAGAAATTTGAATGAGAAAAAGTTATTCCTTGGCCTTCGTCTATCCATGACCTCTTTCTGGCTCGGATTCTTTGGTCTTGAATCTTTCTAGTCAAACCTTTAAGCACCTACGTTATTGTTATCCCTTTTTTTTATTTCTGGAACTTAGAGATGATGTTGGGTCAATCTCACTTCGGTACCTAATTTTTAAAATGTCCTTAACTCTTAACTCTATCCTAATTTATCAGTTTGTTTCAGTTTTTAGACTTATGTTAGTTGGGTGTTAAAGGGGGACAAAATATGAGAGATGTTTTGTTACAAAAGTGTTGTGTTTGTTATCGTCACGCGTGTAACTATGTGTTTTATTAGGGAAGTGTTTTATCAAGACTCTGTTATTTTCCATCATCACTGTGTGCATATTTTGTGCACTTTTTAACATCTAATTGATGGAACGGTAAATACTGAAACAAACTAATAAATCGGGTCAAGTTTGGGTCATTTTATATGAACCAAAGCTTAGAAGTTAAGTTCAGACCATTAATCAAAGAATAATGGTAGGGATACAAATATACTTACGTGTATGTGATATGTCATTTCACTTATATGTTAACTCATCACTATTAATTTAACACTTATTTTACTAATTTGTGTGCTAGATGGAAAAATTTATCATCCACCTGACAAAAACTTCTGAAAGCACTTGCAAGTCCTCTGTTGAAACAGAAAGTGTCTCTATGCCTAAAGAGCCCATTACCTTGCCAACTCCTATACCCAGCCCTACCCATGTACCTAATTTGGGCACTAAAATTGAAAACAAAAAAGAGGAGGGAGACAATAAAAAGAGGAAGAAGTCACAAAAAAAGTCTCCTATTTTGGATCATTTCAAAATCATAGAGGGTGAGGATCCAAATGAGCCTAGGTGTAAGTGTATCTATTGTGGGGTAACATATACGTGTGATAGTAGGAGACATGGCACCAGTAGTATGAAGGTTCACATAGAAAAGTAATGCAAGAAATACCCATATAGGAACCAAGACAAAAGGCAAAAAACTCTTAGTTTCAAAATAAACATTGAAACTGGTAGTAGTCTTGTTGCTATAGGCTTTAACAAAGAGCATTGTAGAAAAGCGTTAGTAAAAATGGTGATTGTAGATGAGCTTTCATTTAGGTTTGTTGAAGGTGAAGGATTTAATAATTTTTGTCAAGTGACGCAGCCTCGGTTCTCTATCCCTTCCCGTGTTACGATTGCTAAGGACATTTACTAACTTTTTTTGGAAGAGATGAAGAAACTAAGGGCTGAATTTAGTAAGGGCAGTCAAAGGATTTGCCTAACAACTGATTGTTGGACATCCTTGTAAAATAGTAATTATTTGTGTCTAACTGTACACTACGTTGTTAGTGAGTGGACTTTGTAAAAAAGGATTATAAACTTTTGTCAAATTTCAAGTCACAAGGGAGAGAGTGTTGGTAAAGTCACTGAGTCATGTTTGCATGCTTGGGGTATTGAGAGAGTCTTCACTATGACTGTTGATAATGCCTCCTCAAATGACTCCATGATTACCTACTTGAGAAGGAAGATTAAGGGGTGGAAAGGGGTTGTTTTAGGGGGAGAATTTCTACATGGTAGGTGTTGTGCCCATATAGTGAACTTGATTGTCAATGAAGGTTTAAAAGACCTACATGATTCCATGGCTGCCATTCGTAACACTGTGAGATATGTGAGGTCTTCTCTGGCTAGGTTGTTGAAATTCAAGTCATGTGTGGAGCGAGAGAAAATTGAATACAAAGGTCTCGTATGCCTAGATGTCCCTACTAGATGGAACTCCACCTATATGATGTTAGATGCAGCCATTAAGTTTCAAAAAGCTTTTGAAAGATATGAAGAGGAAGATGACAAGTTTGTGTCTTATTTTCGGAAAGATGAGGGGGGAAACAGAAGATTGGCCCGCCACTTGATGATGATTGGCAGAATGTTAAGGTGTTTGTGAAATTTTTTAAGACTTTTTATGGTATAACTTTGAAGTTTAGTGCCACTTTGAATGTCACTTCAAATTCTTACTTTCATGAGCTTTGTGAGATGCAAAACCAGCTATCTAAATTAAGCAAACAAGAGGATTCAATGCTTTCATCCATGGCTGTGAGTATGAAAAAGAAGTATAACAAGTATTGGGAAAAAAAT